TTATATTCTCCTTTATAACTTTTGCTTTGGAAGTTTAGAAGAGCCAATAAAAACTGAACAATAAGAACATTAAGATTTTTCATTTTAGAAATTGCCACATTTTGGAATTCAGAGAAGTTACCTCATAAAGCAGATTGATTTCTATGTTTTCTCTCTTAAGTCATTGTATTCTCGGGTCTTGTCTACATAATTTTGTCTTTATAGTTTCACAGAAAGTCATAATAAATTGTGCAATTTCTTTCCCACTGGTTTCTGGATTAGGTCTTCACTTTTATCGGAAAAGTACCCAATAAAAACCTCAACTTTTCTTGGTAAGGCAGATAAATATATGGAATGAAGACAATTTTGATGATTTTTCTTTATCACTTACTTCCTAAATATAATAAATATTGATAAATATATCCTGTAATTTCAATTAAAAAGATTATAGATGTAGAGATCTGATTCCCCATAAATGACAAAGAATATTTATCAGAGAAGCTGGCAGTAGAGACATCTTCTTTCATGAGATTTTATTAAGCAAAATATCCTATAAGTGAAAAATACATAACAATCATCATACAAATATATCAAAAATAAAATTTAAGACAATGTAGAAGACTATATGATCAATATATGCTATGGCTTATACTTTCTTATACTTAATTTATAAAAGATTTGTTAATCTATATTTAAAATATATTCCATTCAAAATTAGTTAAGATTAAATATTTTCCTTGTTGATAAATTTTTGGTCTCAAAGAATGGAAATATACTTACATTCATATAAATTAATGCAGGATTCCAGGGGAATCTGGAGAGCTCTTGTAAGGCGTGTTATATGAACTGGGAATTCCGCAGATGCATTTTTTCCTCTTATTTCAAGAAAGTATTTATTTATTTATTTTTCATTTTATTTGAAATTCAAATAGACGGGAAGAGAGATACAGGGACAGAGAGGAGGGATCTTCTGTCCTCTGGTTCACACTCCAAATTCCTACAACAGACAGGGTTGGCTTAGGAGAAAGCCTAGAACTCACTGGTCTCCCACGTGGGTGGCAGAGACACTTTGAGCTATCACTTGCTGCCTCCCAGCTTATGCAATAGCAGAGAGCAGGAACTGGGTGTGCACTCAGAACACAAACCGGGCACTAATATATGGAATATGTGTATCTTAATCACTGCACCAAATGCTTACCTGCTTCTTTCTCTTTCTCTTTCCATAGCCCTCTTTCTTTTAATAGTACAATGAATTTTATTCCCACTGCTTAACTCTTTCTGTACTACAGCAAGAATTTTTGTCACATGCCTTGTAGCATTTTCTATTGGTGTGGACTAAGATTTGTTTCAATCAAATAATATTGAAGTTGGCCATATGTCTTGGTTTAATCAATTAATTCTAGCAAACAGGCATAATTTTGAGTTTGGATAACTTACATTTTAGTTTGACTTCTTGTGCTGCTTTAACTTGTCATGAGACAAACACATCTCAACCACCGTTCCATTTATGAGAGCTCCAGAGTAAACCACGTGGGAATATGTGAATGAACCATGCTAGAAACCTAGAATGCAACTTAACCTACTCCACCTAGCCTGCATCAGCTAAACCCCTGGATACACTGAAATCTACATGCAAGAACATAATAGATTTTGAGGTTATTTGTATACAATAAAAATAGACAAATGAGTTATCTTTTCTTGTACTATTCTGTCATTCATTGAAGAATTGATGTCTCTGTTTACATTGCATGCATATAAATTATCAAATGGTTAAAAATATTTTCAATTCCAAGCTTGATATGACCTTACTACTGTACTGTGTGTCCAGTACTATCTGACTTTTGAAAGAGAATCTGATTGTTAGCTGAAAATAGATTAACTAGTAATAAATCACTTGTCAACTGGACTAATGGTTTAATCTTGACTTCCTATTCTGGACGGTGAGCAGAACAAGTTTTCAGGAAATTCTGATTAAAATAGGTGTGAACAGGAGATATATAAAGGATTCTTCCTATTATAGTATATAAAGTAAGAATGTATATTTTTAAATATTGATGTGTAGGTTATTTGCGTAGCACTATATGTTCTTCAATCTATCCATATGCCTATTCCCATAACATAAAAATATATTTATAACATATGGAAATACATATACAGAATATTAGATCTCATAGTACGGTGGTCAAACTCTAGGAAACTTTTCTAATAATTAAACACCACTACTAAGTTGAATTAAAAATAAAAAAAATAGAATTATATTGGTAGGATGGCAGAATTATAAGCCCCAGATCTTATTCCCAAGAGAGAAATGTCAAAAACAGATTTATTGAAATGGGTAAGAAAAGGCATTTCATTTCATTTCAATTGTTTCAGTTCTTCTAAATTATCAAAGCTTACAAATGGAAGGATAACCAAATCTCAGCTTCTCCCTTGTTAGGGGAAGAGAAAAAAAAAATATGTTTGCTATTTCAGTTTTTGAAGGATTTACCAATGGATTGGTTTCTGCCTCACATGACCAAAAGCATTGATTGAACTGGCATTTTTGTAAGCCCATGGGATGCAGGGACAAAAGCCATGCAGTGGCTTGTCGTCATGAAGGAGAATCTGGAATATTACAGAGGGAACAGAGATTGCAACTAAATACAGATGAGAAAAATGATGTAATAGCAAAATAATAATGTTGATAACATGATGAACACTCTGGCAAAGTTGGTAAAGCCTCTGCCTGCAGTGCCAGCATCCCATATGGGCGCCAATTAGAGTCCCGGCTGCTCCCCTTCTGATCCAGCTCTCTGCTATGGCCTGGGAAAGCAACAGAAGATGGTCAAAGTCTTTGGGCCCCTGCATCCACAAGGGAGACCTGGAAGAAGCTCCTGGTTCCTGGCTTGGGATCAGAGCAGCTCTGGCTATTGTGGCCCATTGGGAGTGGGATGCAGCAGATGGAAGACCTCTTTCTCTCTCTCTCTCTCTCTCTGCCTCTTCTTCTCTCTCTGTGTAATTCTAACTTTCAAATAAATAAATAAATCTTTAAAGAAGAATCAAATTGGCTGGCGCCGTGGCTCAATAGGCTAATCCTTGACCTAGCGGCGCCGGCACACCAGGTTCTAGTCCCAGTCAGGGCGCCGGATTCTGTCCCGGTTGCCCCTCTTCCAGGCCAGCTCTCTGCTGTGGCCAGGGAGTGCAGTGGAGGATGGCCCAGGTGCTTGGGCCCTGCACCCCATGGGAGACCAGGAGAAGCACCTGGCTCCTGCCTTCGGATCAGTGCGGTGTTCAGGCCGCAGCGCGCCAGCCATGGTGGCCATTGGAGGGTGAACCATCGGCAAAGGGAAGACCTTTCTCTCTGTCTCTCTCTCTCACTATCCACTCTGCCTGTCAAAAAGAAAAAAAAAGCATCAAATGGATGTGATAAATTCAGAATATTTCATCACACAGTTGAAGAATAGATTCTTTTCATCATTGCATGCAACTGTCTCTAAGATTAACTATATGCTAGGCCATAAAGGAAGTCTCAGCAAATTTTAAAAAAATTGAAATCATACCATGTTTCTTATCTGAACACAATGGGATGAATATTGAAAATTAACAACTTTGGCTGGCGCTGTGGCTCACTTGTCTAATCCTCTGCCTGTGGTGCTGGCACCCTGGATTCTGTCCCAGTTGCTCCTTTTCTAGTCCAGCTCTCTGCTGTGGCCTGAGAAGGCAGTGGAGGATGGCCCAAGTCCTTGGGCCCTGTATACACATGGGAGACCGGGAGGAAGCACCTTGTGGGGAGCAACTCGGACTAGACTAAGTTACTGGAATTAAGACTTATTCTATGCATCTGCTCTCCCACAATATGGCGCTGAGAAGGGAGAAACAGCTTCTACACAGCTGCCTCCAGTTCAACCAATAAACTGTAGGACCTGCTCCTGATTGGAGGAGAGCAGCATACTCGGCGTGTGGGTAGCAGAGTTGGGATTGGTGGAAGAGGACTATAAAGGAGGAGAGAGACAACATGCACCAGGAACATCTAAGGGGAACATCTATCTGAAGGAACACCTGTGCAGCCCCCGAGAGGGCCAGCCGGCCGGCGGTGTGCCGCTCCCCTGTGGAAGTGGGGAAAGTGGCAGGGGGAACCGCCCTTCCACGGAGGTGGAAGGGTCGGTAGCCAACCCGGGAAGAACCAGCAGCAAACCCGGGGAGGGCCGAGCAGGCAAAAGAACAGCGCAGGGTCCTGTGTCGTTCCTCCACAAAGAGGGGGAGCGACAGCACCTGGCTCTTGGCTTTGGATTGGTGCAGCGTGCTGGCCGTAGCAGTCATTTGGGGGGTGAACCAACGGAAAGGAAGACCTTTCTCTCTGTCTCTCTCTCTCACTGTCTAACTCTGCCTGTCAAAAAAAAATTAACAACTTAAGAATCGCTAGAAAATATGCAAACATATGGTGACTGAACAACACTCTCTTGAATTAACAGTGGGTCATAGAATAAATAAAAAGGGAAATCAAAAAATTTCTGGAAATTAAGATGACAAAACAATATATCAAACCTTATGGGATACAGCAAAAGCAGTATTAAGAGGGAAGTTTATACCAGTTAGTGCCTACATTGAGAACTTGGAAAGGCATCCAGTTAATGAACTACAAATACATCTCAGAGACCTAGACAACAATACTAAACCAAACCAAAGATTAGGAGGAGGAAAGAAATAATTAAAATTTGAGAATAAACAAAATTGAAACCTAAAACACAAACAAAAGATCAGTGAAATAAAAAGCTATTTTTTAAAAAATATAAGCAAAATTGATAAAGCATTGGCCCAAGTAACAAAAAATATGGAGGGGAGGGAGAACACTCATAAAAATAAAATCAGAGATGAAAAAAGAAATGTGACAATGGATATCACAGAAATAAAAAGAATCATCAGGTATTACTATGCCCTAAAACTGGAAAATCCAGAAGAAATGGATAGATCCCTGGACATATATAATCCACCAAAATTAGTCATGAGGACATAGAAAATCTAAACAGACCAAAACCAAGGCAAAAATTGAAATAGTAATAAAGACCCCCCCACCCCGCCGCGCCGCCGACAAAGAAAACCCAGGACTAGATGGCTTCACTGCTAAATTCTACCAAACTTTTTAAAGAATTAATTTCAATTCTCAAACTATTCAAAACAATTGTAATGAGGGAATCTTCCCAAACTCCTTCTATGAGATTAGCATAACCTTAATTCCAAAATCAGAAAAAGATACAACAAAGAAAGAGGAAGAATTTTACTGATGAACATAGGTGCAAAAGTACTCAACAAAATATTAGCTATTTGAATCCAACAACACCTCTGAAAGATCATTCACCTGGACCAAGTGAGATTTATCCCTGGTATGCAAGGCTGGCTTAACATACGCAAATCAATAAATGTGATTTATTTAGATCAATAACTGTAATGGCAATAGCAAACTGAAGAATAAAAACCATATGATTGGGACCAGCAATGAGGCGTAATAGGCATCCCATATGGTTGCCAGTTCCTTTACCAGCTGTTCTTCTAATCCAGCTCTCTGCTAATGGCCTGGGAAAGCAGTGGAAAATGTACCAAATATTTGGGCCCACACCCACATGGGAGATTGGGAAGAAGCTCCTGGCCCCAGGCTTCAGAACAGCCTAGCTCCAGCTGTTAAAGACATTTGGGGAGTGAATCAGCAGATGGAAAACCTTTCTCTGTTTCTCCCTTTCTCTGTCTGTAAGTCTGCCACTCAAATAAATAAACTGAATCTTCAAAAAAACCAATATATGATTATCTGAATAGATACAGAGAAAGTATTTGACAAAATACAACATCCTTTTATGAAGAGGACCTCAAACAAATTGGGTATAGAAGCAACATTCCTCAACACAATCAAGGCAATATATGACAAACCCACAACCAGCATCATATTGAGTAGGAGAAAAATTGGAAGCATTTCCAGTAAGATGTGGAACCTGACAAGGATGCCCACTTTCAATACAGTCCTGGAAGTTTTAGCAAGAGCCATTACACAAGAAAAGGAAATAAAAGGGATATAAATTGGAAAGGAAGAAGTCAAGTTACCCCAGTTAGCAGATGACATGATTACACATATAGGTAAACCAAAAGACTGCACTAAGAGACTATTGGACTTAGAAGTTTGGTGAAGTTGCAAGATATAAAATCAACACACAAAAATCAATAGCCTTTGTATACACAGATACAATGCCATGGCTGAGAAAAAAGTTGTAAGATCAGTCCAATCTGGGGTGGCGCTGTGGCGTTAATGGGTAAAACTGGCGTCTTCCCATCTGGGTGCTGTTTCAAGTCCTGATTGCTCCACTTCTGATACAGCTCTCCATTAATGGCCTGCAAAAGCAGATTTTCAAATAAAATAAATAAATATTTTTTTAAATATTAATACCATTCATAATAGCTATTAAAGTATTTAAATACCTTGGAATAAATTTAACCAAGAAGGTAAAAATTATGGAACATTAAAGAAAGATATAGAATAAGACACACACAAAAAGGAAAAAAATCTTCTGTGTTCGTGAGTTGGAAGAATTAATTCCATCAAAATGGAATTAATTAATTAATTTCCATCAAAATTTTTAGATTTGATATGATCCCAATCAAAATATCAACCAGGCCTGGCACTGTGGCTTAGCTGGTAAAGCTACTGCCTGCAGTGCTAGCATCCCATATGGGTGCTGGTTCAAATTTTGGCTGTTCTAGCTCCCTTCAAATGGCCTGTGAAAGCAGCATAGAATGGCCCAAGTACTTGGCCACTACACACATGTGGGAGACTCAGAAGCTCCTGACTCCAGGCTTAGGAATGATCCAGATCCAGCCATTGCAGCCATTTGGGGAGTGAACCAGTGGATGGAAGATCTCTTTCTCTCTCGGCTTCTCTCCCTCTCCCTGTAACTCTGCCTTTCAAATAAATAACTAAATCCTTAAAAAAAATAAAAAATGAAATTCAGCCACAACAAAACAAACAATCCAGTTAAAAAATAAGCAAAGGACTTGAAAAGGCATTTTTCAAAAGAGGAAATTCAAATGACTTGCAGATACATTAAAAAAAATGCTAAGGATCATTAGCCATTAGAGAAATGCAAATAAAAACTGCAATAGGATTTCATCTCATCCCAGTTAGAATGGCTCTCATACAGAGATCAAAAACCAATAAATGCTGGGAAGAATTTGGAGGAAAAGTACCTTAATCCACAGTTGGTGGGAATGCAAACTAGTACAGTCACTGTGGAAGACAGTATAGAGATTCCTCAGAAATCTGAAAATAGATCTATATTATGATGTAATCATCTGACTTCTGGGAATTTACTCAAATGAAATGAAATCAGCATATTAAAGAGTTATCTGTACCCCCATGTTTATTGCTGCTAAATTCACAATAGCTAAGATGTATAATCAGCTCAGATTTCCATCAACTTATGCCCAGATAAAGAAAATGTGGTATATATACTATGGAGTACTATTCAGCCATAAAAAAGAAATCCTTTCTCTTGTAATAAACTGGTTGCAACTGGAAACCATTATATTTAGTGAAATAAACCACTCCCCAAAAGACAAATACTATATGTTTTCCATGATCTGTGGCAACTACTAGAATACAAAAAAGTAATGTATAAAAGCAAAATCAACATTTTAAGAATTGATGATTGTTTATAGCCCCTGTCTCTACTGTTTATTTATTTACTTTTTTTTCTTTTTACTATTTGTTGAATTCTTTACTTAGTGGAGGGTTAAGCTTATGGTTATAAAATAAACTGAAAATAGGGGGCTGGCAATGTGGCATAGCAGGTAAAGCCACAGCCTGCAGTGCCAGCATCCCATATGGGCACTGGTTCAAGTCTTGGCTGCTCCACTTTTGATCCAGCTCTCTGCTATGGGCTGGGAAAGCAGTAGAAGATGGCCCAAGTCCTTAGGCCCCTACATAGGCGTGGGAGACCCAGAGAGGTCTCCTGGCTCCTGGTTTCAGATTGGCACAGCTCCAGCCGTTGCAGGATCTGGGGAGTGAATCAGCAGATGGAGGAGCTCTCTCTCTCTCTCTCTCTTTCTCTCTCTGCTTCTGCTCTCTGTATCTCTGCATTTCAAATAAATAAATAAATCTTTAAAAAATATACTGAAAATGTGTCTTTGTAAAAATTAAAAGAAAGGATAATAAAGGAAGGAGGAGGGAGTGTGAGAATGAGGGTGGGAGGGAGGTTGGAGTGGGAAGTATCACTATGCTCATAATCTGTATTTATGAAATATATGAAATTTGTTCAACTTATATTAATTTTGAAAGTTGAAGAAAAATAAATAATACAAAAAAGACAAAACATATAAAAGAGAAACAAAGAGAAGTTCAGCACCTGCAAAATACAACTGGAAAAAAGAATCAATTAAACAAATTTTGAACTGTTACAAAAGTTGAACTAGAAAAATCACTGGAGAGGAATCAACAACAGATTTGATTTGGTAGAAGAAATAACCTATGAACTTGAAAACAGAGCATTTGAAATTACTCAAGTCAGAGAGAAAGAGAAAGAGAAAAAAAAAAAAAACAGAGGAAAGAAACCTTAAGGGACTTAAGAGCTTAAGAGAGCAATACGTGCATTATGAGAATCCTGGAGGGAGATGGAGAATGAAACTGAGAATGTATGTGAAGAAATAATGGCCCAGAGCTTTCCAAATCTGAACAAGGAAATCAGCATCCAAATTCAGGAAACTCAAAGGACTCAACTATAAAACACAAACACTTACCAAGACACATTATAACTAAACTGCCAAAAGTGAGAATCTTGAAAAGGGCAAGAGAAAAGCTATTCATCATGTGTGAAGTGAATTCTCATGAGTATAAATGGATTTCCAAGAAGAAACATATGCAAGGTGCTGAAATAAATGCAAACCAAAAATAGCATACCCAGCAAAACTATCATTGAAAAAAGGAAATTGCTTCTTGGCCTTTTGTTTAATTGCAAATGAAAACAAAAGGTGAAAGAATAACTTTCTAGATAAATGAAATCCAAGGGAATTCATCACAACTAGATCTATCTTATAAAGAGATTCATCAAGTTGAAATGAAAATACACTTGAATAGCAACATGAAAGCATATAAAAATAGAATTCTGATAGAAGAAATATACGGATAATCCTGAATCCTATAGTTGGATAAATTGATTTTAAATTAGGGTTAAGGCCGGCGCCGCGGCTCACTAGGCTAATCCTCCGCCTAGCGGCGCCGGCACACCGGGTTCTAGTCCCGGTCGGGGCGCCGGATTCTGTCCCGGTTGCCCCTCTTCCAGGCCAGCCCTCTGCTGTGGCCAGGGAGTGCAGTGGAGGATGGCCCAGGTGCTTGGGCCCTGCACCCCATGGGAGACCAGGAAAAGCACCTGGCTCCTGGCTCCTGCCATTGGATCAGCGCGGTGCGCCGGCCGCAGCGCGCCGGCCGTGGCGGCCATTGGAGGGTGAACCAACGGCAAAGGAAGACCTTTCTCTCTGTCTCTTTCTCTCACTATCCACTCTGCCTGTCAAAAAAAAAAAAATATAATATATAAAGAAAAAAAAAATTAGGGTTAGAATGTAAAAAATAAAAACATTAAAAATATAGTTTTAAAATTATGTTAATGGCCGGCGCCGTGGCTCAATAGGCTAATCCTCCGCCTAGCGGTGCCAGCACACCGGGTTCTAGTCCTGGTTGGGGCGCCGGATTCTGTCCCGGTTGCCCCTCTTCCAGGCCAGCTCTCTGCTATGGCCAGGGAGTGCAGTGGAGGATGGCCCAGGTGCTTGGGCCCTGCACCCCATGGGAGACCAGGAAAAGCACCTGGATCCTGGCTCCTGCCATCAGATCAGCGCGGTGCGCCGGCTGCAGTGGCGGCCATTGGAGGGTGAACCAACGGCAAAAGGAAGACCTTTCTCTCTCTGTCTCTCTCTCACTGTCCACTCTGCCTGTCAAAAAAAAAAAAATTATGTTAATGGATACAAAATATAGAAAGATATCATTTATAGGGGCGAGATAAAGAAATAGAGTTTTAGTATATATTAGAAGTTAAATTTTTATCAGTTTAAAGCAGATTGTTATAACATGGTTTAAGTAATACTTATGATACCACAAAGAAAATACCTAGGAAAGATGTACCCAAAACAATCATAGAGCATGCCATAATAAAAAAAAAATCAAAAGATGAAGGAAAACATTAATAAATAATAAAAATGATAATAATAAAAGGGACAAAATTATTCTGAGACAGCAGAAAACGTTCTGAAAGAACAGTAAATCTATCCCTGTAAGTAGTTACTTTAAATATAAACATATTAAAATCCTCACTCCCTTATGGGTGAGAGTTCATGTCCTGGATGCTCTACTTCCAATCCAGCTTCTTGCTAATGTGCATGGGAAAGGAGTAGAAGGTGACTCAAGTACTTGGGATCCTGCTGCCCATACTGGAGTACCAGATGAAGCTCCTAGTTTCGGCCGGGCTTACCCCTTAGTCTTTGCAGTCATTTGGGGAGTGAACCAGCAGATTTAAGATTTCTCTCTCGCTCTCTCTCTCTCTCTTACTCTCTCTCTATTTGGGTAACTCTGTCTTTTTAAATAAATAAATACCTATTTTTTGTTTTTAAGGAATAAAGCAAGGATGCCCACTCTCATCACTTCTATGCAGCAAAGAACTGGAAGTCCTAGACTGGGCAGTTGGCCAGGAGAAAGGAATAAAAAGTATCCAAATGGAAAAGGACTTTGCTATCTCTGTTTACCTGGCATCTTCTTGTATGTAGAGAACTCAAAAATTCAGGACAAAAATATCAACATCCAAAAATCAGTTACATTTCTATACTTTAACAATGAACAATCTGAAAAACAGATAAAAAAGAACACAATCCCACTTAGAGTACTATCAAAGAGAACAAAATTCTTAGGAATAAACCTGACCAAGAAGACAAAACTCTGTGCACTGAAAACTACAAAACATAGTTGAAAGAAATTATAAAGGACATTTACAAATAGAAAAGCATCCCGTTTAGTGTATTGGAAGATGTAACACTGTTAAAATGTCCACACCACACAAAGGAACCTATAAATTCGATGCAATCCTATCAAAATGATAATGACTTTTTGTAGAAATTGAAAAAAAAAATCACATACTACCATAATCAAAGCACTTTGAATCTGGGAAAATGTTGGTGAAATCAATTAATAAAATAAAGCTCAGAAAAAAATTCTTATCTGCTCAAATAATCTTTGAGAAAGTTGTCAATGGTACAAAATTGGGAAAGGACAGCCTATTCAATAATTGTTATTGAATATTGTTAAAAATAATTAAGTCATTAATAACTCCATACATAAAAAAGAACTCAAAATATAT